TTACTAATAAACTAAAATTATTGTATTTGTTTTTTTTTTTTTTTTTTAGAGGTAAATTATCGTGATGGGAATTCCGGGATGGTTTCCCTTTCAGTGATTTAGCTTAATACTTAATAAATCAAAATAATGTATTCACCATAATATTATTTAAATAAAATTCCATCACCCATTTCAAAAACCCTAAATTCACCACTGCTAAATTACAAGACAATAATTAAAATTTATAAATATTAGTTGAATGTCTATCTCGAATAATAATTAATTTCTATTCAAACTTACTGAATTAAATAGAAATGATAGGAGTTCAATTTCAGACTACATGTATGTACAATTTTCGTTCAACACAGTATACAAAAAAAATTGTTGATACGTATTAGGTACCTACTTTTTACTTCATGTGTAGATATGGATTTAAATTTACATTTATTTTAAACAGCCAAATAGCCAAAATATTGTGTGAATATAATTTAATTGAGAAAAAWATATATAAATTTTAGTAGATGCTAAAAATATAACTGAAATTTTTAAGAACCTACTACCTACTGTTAAATACATATGAAATAGACCTGTAAAAATACTTCCGTCGTTTTTCAATGGTAACGATATTACACAATATTTAGGTGTGTCTTAATTTTACAATGGTCAACCGTCATACTAAATTGCAATGAACGAATAATAATAYATTTTAAAATATCCTGAAATATACAAAAAAAAATACWCTCAAGGACGTGATAAACTTATTGTTTGTTAATTACAGAAATGTATGATTAAATAATCCATTTATTCATCATTGTTTTGTTCCAAAATACAAGTACTAATTTATGACAACAATACAGCGTCAGATCGTCTAAATTAAGGCCAAACCTAATAATAATATATTTTAATCCCGAAATATTAAACAATCACCCTCAATCCATAGCAAACATCATCACAGAAGCCAATCTTCAAATCATTTAGTTAACAATAAGATTTAGTATAAAATATATGTAATTCATTATTTCCTCTCTGTAAGCCCAATACCCTATGTTKCTTAGGGTATATGTAAATAACTTAAATATTTAGATTTTAAATATAAATAAATAAATAAAAAAGTTAAATAAAATATAATTTAATAATTTATTAATAAAAAAAGAAAAATGTATACTAATTACGAGTTACGAACATATATAATATCACATATTATTATTTTTAATATTTTTTCTCATACTTGATCGTTTACAAAAATTATGTCAACTACTCAACTATTCAATATCTACACATTTAAATTTGAATAGCAATGTATGGTTTTGTTTACGATTTACCATTATATTGAAAAACATAATTRCATTTGAAAATTGTGTTTATGTTCTTGTTCAATAATAATACCATATAGTTTTAACATTTAAAAAGCCAAAAATTTTTGGGCATTTTTGATTTATCTAAATCAAAGCGCTTAGATTTGAAACAGAATTTTATTAAAATTAGAATCTACGTAGAGTGTAGACTAATAAAATAGCTTAAACAATGGAATTATAAAACAGATATATAGAAATGTGCAAGTACAAGTAATGAAGTTTTTTTAAACCCTATGGTTAACAACTTAACTTACAATCATTATAATTAAAATAATGATGGTAAAAAGATTCTGTGTAGCATTGTATTTAACAAACGTAAAGAAATCTGCCCAACGCTTATAATATAATTATCTATACGTAATGATTTTGTATACTTTACTTTAGCTAAGTCATGTACCCAAACTACTGCGCTATTTCGTTCACTTTCAAATAATAAATAAATGTTAATGGAATAAAAATTAAAGTTAAGCCATTTAATGATGAAACTTTTAATTTTTAATTGCAATTATGTAGTATACAACATAGTATTAGTACTATTTAATATAGTAACAACAGTATTAGTATACACATAGTGTATTATTTTAGGTAATCATTAATTTTGAAGGATATAAAAATATTAAATAAGTATAAAACATTTTTGTTATCATACATAATATCACATAGTTACTGACATGCATAATAAAATGTGTGCACATAAAAAATAAAATATGGCATGTTGTGCAGATTATAACATTTTTAATTGCAATTTAAAAAACATAAAAGAGTCCATTACGTATAAATGCATAATAATAGTAAATTTTAGTACCTACAACGACTACAAACCACCTACGCAGTATAGAAATGTACCTAATTGTGTGTTTTAGTTTTCAAATTCTAATGYCGAGTTGCATAAAAATTGTTTAACATTTAATATTTAARTGAATCAATAGTGAGATACTGGCCCTTTAAATATGATTTTGTGGCCTACGATTGTTCATTACATTTTATTGAAGCATTAGATTAATCAATTTTTTATAAAATATTATATTTATTGCAGGCACCACTTGAATAATTTTTTAAAACATAAACCTATTAAATAAAAACTGCTTTACTTATATTATAATCTATGCTCACATTCGTTTACGACTAAGCACGAAATAACGGATATTATTTATTACMWAATAATATCTATTATTGCAATGGTCTTATTATATTTAACTACAACAGATAATAAGTTTATCTTTCAAATAATCAGAATTTTTAAAGTAAAACATTTTAAATATAATTTATTTCAATCAAGTTCCAAAAGCACAGAAAATATGAATCAGTTTCAGACTTTCAGTTGATAAATGACAATTTCTTTAGATTTTTACCATTTTTTACCATATTATATTACATAAATATTGATCAGCTGGTATGTACCTATACGGTATACTGCAATATGTGTGAATATTTAATAGGCATAAGATCTAAGTTGTGTGAGTTTGTATAAGCAGGTAAAAAATCATTGAACAAAAAAGACAATTCAAGCGTAATTATTACAATAAATCAAATCAATAAAATATTATATGCTTACAATACAGTTTACTGCTTAGTGTATAATGTTATTATTATGATCATTATACTTTGTTATGTATATCTAAACCAGTCTCTTAAAATAGCCTTGAAATGGAAAATTAAATGTATTGAAAGCCATGTAGGTGTAATTTCTAAAGCTTATTATAGGTCAATAGTAATTTTTCGACGCGCAGTAGGTGTATTGTCATAATACATAATATAACATAAATCRATATCTAGCCCGAGAACAATGAAATTCAGTTGACATAATTTTTTCAACTAAAACTAAAAAAAATATATATTAAATAACTTAAAAATATYCCAATAAAAGTGAGTTACAAGTGTATAGTGTGTATATAACAGTGAATAACAATGGATCTTTGAGATTTAAGAATAAAAGTCATACAATATTGAATATTTATAATAAAATTGTTATTAAATTAAGGATCATCAMMTATTGTACATTTATCGTACGAAATTGAAAAGTAAAACCAAACAACCTAAATTTTTCTTTTAATAACCTTAATTTTGGTAATCCAAGTCCAATATTTAAAGGAGACTTATTATATTATTACGTAAATACTAAATAAATGTATTTTTCTTTSTTAATTTTACTCACTATAAAAATGTTGTACATCATGTCCTTTCTTAGTTACATATTTCTTGTATAGGTAAYATTGCCTTACTTGCATTTAATGTTTGYTATTTATTGTAACACTACATTTAACATATTTTGTTTTGTTGTTTTCATAAGCAGATAATCTAGGGTGTCGGATTTGAAGGGGCTTAACTTCMGATATTAAATGTAGGAAATTGGATCAGAAAAAAAATCATATATATTTTAAAGGTGAAAAATTGTAYATACCTATTAATATAATTAATTGAATACATTTTTTGACGTTAAAATATATWACACACAGGTACGCTGTAAAGTGGAATTTATAAAATAAATTCTATATTGTTATTGATTTAACAACTATAACTCAACATTTAAGAATATAAATAACT